TAATTACATAATTTACTGGATTTATTTGCAACATTCTGCCGTTTGAAATTTCAGCCTTCGCATCAGGTCTAGTAGAAGTTCGTTAAAATAGCCCATATAACCTGGACTTTATACCATAAGTTTATGACCGCAAACCAAACGCACACGGAACATTTTCCGGCAAAGTAAATCACTTTAATTGCTGTTTAGGAATTGTTCTACCGGGCAATAAATACGGTATTTGTCGCCTATTGGCTTATGAAACGAGTGTGGCAATTTTTGGCATTTTTCGCTTCTCAATGCGTGTTGTTTGCTCCATTGCAAACATTCCGGGCGCAAAACATGAAAAACACACTAGAAAATTGTCAAAAACATGCACCTAAAACTTGCGATTTTCTCGATTAATTGCAGGATTTTTTTAATTCATCCGACTGAACGGTTTCAAATGCATTTTACGCAACGCACTTAATTTTTTTTCTTACAGCACTTAGCCGTTGACATTTGCCAGTGCCCTGCAGTTCTAACGACTGTTTCGATATGAATAATTTACAACACACAATATGTAATAATCTCCATCTACACCTAAACGAGTTAAGGTCAAATCTATTAAAGCATGAATTGAAATCGGCTTATTTATTGCTATCGATTGAATGAATATAAATAAATACATTTCCTATGAATTTGTCAACATATGGATGCACAAGCATCCATTAATTTGTTCATTTAAGAGTATTAAGTAAGGAGGATAAGGAAAATTTGGGTTTTGCTCCAGATGTTTCTGTAGCACGCCTGGTTACCATCTTCAGAGGTATGCCGCCAAGGGCGGCCAAAGCGAACACCTAAGTAGACCGTTTGAACATTCGACTCTATTTGAACAGAGCAACTTTAAATTAACTGGATTTCCTTGATAGAGAATCGAATGTTTTTCATGTTGCAACTTTCCCTCGTTGGACTTCTTTTCCTCCTCAGAAACCCCATGAATTCGGGCAAACGATCAAAATACTGCATTTTGGAGCGGTTTGTTTGGACAGCATCTGGTCCTGTTGAGATTTATTTTAATTTCTATTTATATTTCCTTTAGCCGGATGACATCATTGTGTGTGTGTCTGTTTTCGCCGTTATGATTGGCTTATTTATACAGGATGAGTCAAAAGCGACCTTCAATACCGCTATTTCATCTATAGATCTTTATAATACATTCATTATTGGCCACCTGAATGGTTTTTTTCCTGAAAAAGTCCTCAGAAGAATTGGAAATCAACCTGTGCATCACTGGAATTCATGAAGCATAATCGGCCAAAATGCAAAGCATATTGAAAAATTCGCAAAAATTGCCTGATGATGACTTAAAATGGAAAGTTTTGTCACTTCAATCCATACCAAAGTCAATCGCTAATTTAACCAGTTTTTGAGAAAATGAGTGCGAAACCCACCTGCATAAACAAGCGGAAAATACGCACAAAATTCTAAGAAAGTTCATGAAAACTCGCTGAAGATGACTCAAAATCGAAAAATTTTTACCTATAGACCACACATCGTTCTACACACATCTTTTTTGGATATTGAGAAAATAAACTCAGGCCTGCATAAACAGCGGAAATAAATCGATCGTAAATTTTAAAAAATCTTGAAAATAGCCTGATGATGACTCAAAGTTGAAACTTTTTTCGGCATATAGAATGCATTTGGCCCTATGAAATGCACCCGAAAGATAATATCGAGATACTCTGGTCTCTGAGAAAATAAGTGCCAAACTTGGGCCTACACAAACAACCGCAAAATTATCTCTCTTGAAAATAGCCTGATGATGAGTGAAAATCGAAACTTCTACTATTTCTTAAAGAGGCTAAGCCCAACAAAATTCATGCAAAAGTCGCTCTCTAGATTTATGAGTTTATAATCAGATAACTGTCAAACACCGGCCTGCATAAACAAGCGCAAAATGCAAACAAAATTTGAAAAAATTCCCAAAAATATCCTGAGGATGACTGAAAATCGAAACTTTTTCCGCAGGTAGAGCATACTTAGCTCTACGAAACGGACTCGAAAATCAATTGAAAGTTTCCCAGGTTTCCGAGAAAATACCTGCCCAACTGTGGCCTGCATCAACAAACCCGAAAATCGCAACTTTCAAAAAAATCTTCAAAGTAGACTGATTTTGCTACAAAATCCTAACTTTTGCCAGTTTTAAAACGAAATGTGCCCTAGAAAGCTCATGCAAAAGTCCATCCGTAATTTGACTACTTTCTGAGGAAATAACTGCGAAACTCCGACCTGCTTAAGACTGATTATTATTATTCCCTGAGATTCAGTCAAAGTCGTCAAAAATTGCCTGAAGATGACTGAAATTAGAAACTTTGTCCACATATAGAAGGGACTTGACCCTACAAAATGCATAAAAATTGACTATCTTGCTTCGCAAGTTACAGAGGAAATAAATGTTAACATGCAGCCTAATAAAAACCACCACGAAAGCAAGCCGCTACTTTGAAAAATTCTTGAAAATTGCCTGATGATGACTGAAAATCGAAACGTTCTCCTGTTATATAACACACCTTGCCCTACCAAATGCATACAAAAAACACTCTCTACTTTAAGTGATTTCTGAGGAAAAAATGTCAAACCCTGCACGCATAAACATGTGCGTGCACCACGCATTCATGACTAAGTAATCAGTCTTCCCTTTAAGTTTTTGTCAAGTGCAGGCCGAAAATGTTGATAAAAGCAATAATTGCCCCTTGAAAATATTCCCACTAATCCTCCGAAAAAAACCGCTAAAATTAACCTTGATTGACTTGAGCAAACACATTTTTAAAAAAAGCTGACACATATTGGCAAACATTGATGATATTTGCATTGGTCGGGGCTCAAGTGTCTTTCAAAGGTCAGCATTTAACCCATATGGTAGCGATCGCTGTGCCCACACCAGAAATAAACGTGGCTAAAGCGTCTTAAACGATGATTTATTTCACATGCAAAAATCCCCGGATAAACTCATAAATCCGAGCTTAGTTATGCCCTGAGAAGTCAAACCATTGTATGTGTGGAATTACAACGATGTTCGCATGGAGCTTCTGTATTTTCATGCAAATTGTTGCCTTTGGACTTGCAGAATTTTAATAGACTTGATTCTGCTGGCGGAATTGCTTCCGTTAATTTATCCTGTTTACTGCATCTTTTGACCGTATTACTCTTGTACAACAAATAGTTCCATCGGCTGAAGACACTTACCCATTTTTTTTTGGTCGCTAGTTTTTCACTTGCTGAGTGTTTTTGCACGAATTCCGCCACTTTGCTTCGGTTTTAATTAGCGCAACGCCGAAACGTATCTATTATTGATGTTAATTACCGATGTAATTTGGCCAGGTTGATGTGGTTTTAGCTACCGGCAAAATGCTACTGACAATGACAATGTTTTGGTTTTCTATTTGATTATTTTTAGATTATTCAGCCTGGCAATGTTTTAGTTGGTTTATGATTGAAGGTCTATTTTCGTTGATGTCGTTTGATGTCGATTTTATCTCTAGGTGTAGATCGGACAAGCCACGCAAAAGAKTGTCCGCAAATGGTGCGGCAAACAATTATGGATTTCTGCATRAAAAAGTGAAATGGTTCTGAAAAAACCAYGAWATTGAGATATTTTCGCAAAGAGYGTTTTGGAAACTAGTGCGGAAACAGAACTTTTATTATAGAGTTCACTATATCTTGGTATGGAGTACAGTTCTATTATGGAGTTCACAGAGCAAATTTTCAAAGTTGCGTCCCGTTTTT